GCGCAAAGTTTCCCAAACTCTCTTAACTGAGTAATCTTGCATTTCCTGCAATTCCCAAAATACAATCCCATTCTGTTGTTGCATCCATGGCGCAATAACATCACGCAGCTTCAGCAGCCTCCTCCAAACCCAGGAACTACTGTAATGCACTTTCATTGACCAAATATCGCCATTCTTACACTTATATGCTACCATCCATGCCACCCACAAGGCCCCAGCCTTCATAAGAAACAACCAGAGCAGTCGAGCAGCACAGGCTTGATTCCAGGCAACCAAATCCCTCAATCCAAGTCCTCCTTCCCTCTTAGGCAGAGCCACAGAGTCCCATGCTACCTTTGCCCTACCCATAGTATCTCCATGCCATAGAAATTGAGAGCAAACCTGCTGGATCTTCTTTAATGCCTTCTTGGGAAGCACAAAAAGTTGCATCCAATACTGAACAACTCCAAGTAAAACTGAATTAATAAGTTGCAGCCTACCAGCATATGTGAGTTTCTTGGCACGCCATGATTTGATTCTTTTTGTTATCTTGTCCACCAGTATATCAACTTCTGTAGAAGAGAGCTTACCAGACATCAGAGGAAGTCCCAGGTATCTGACAGGTAGAGTACCCTCCTTGAACCCAGAAAGATGCAAAGCATTGCTTTTATACTTTATAGCCTCACCTCCAAAATATATTTCACACTTTGAAGGATTACTCTTGAGCCCTGATAGCTTATAGAACCTGTGCAAGACCTCTTTAACCTGGAGGATTGCTTGAGCAGAGCCAGTAGTAAAAACCAGAATATCATCCGCAAAGCATAGGTGATTCAATGAAACCCTTTGGCACTGAGGGTGATAAGGGATTCTACCATTTTGACTTGATGCAAGCAACATATTTGATAATCCCTCCATAGCAATGGTGAACAGGTAAGGTGATAAAGGATCACCTTGTCTGACACCCTTCCTAGCTCTGAAGAATCCACATAAGCTGCCATTGATATTAAAGCTATAATGGGCAGTTTGTAGACAAGCCTTGATCCATTTCATAAATTGGTCAGGAAACCCCATTGATTGCATCATAAGAAACAGATAATTCCAGTCAACTTAGTCAAATGCCTTCATGATGTCAATTTTAATTGCATATCTAGAAGACATATGACTTCTATTGTATCCACTCACAAGCTCCTGAGCCAACAAGATGTTGTCCATAATACTCCTACCCTTAACAAAAGCTGATTGAGTATTACCAATAATCAACGACATAATTTCACTAATGCGCCTTGCAAGTATCTTGGCTATTATTTTATAAAGCAAATTCACACAGGAGATAGGCCTATAGTTCTTTAAGGTATCAGCATTTGAAATTTTAGGGATAAGAGACACGGCAGTAGCATTCACTCCACTAGGGAGATTATCTGTTTTGAAGAAATAGAGAACCCCATTAATGACATCCTCCCCAATAATTGGCCATGTCTTCCTATAAAAGCCTGCTGAAAACCCATCTGGCCCTGGCGCTTTCTAAGGATTCAAACTGAATACTACACTTCTGACCTCCTCTGCTGTAATGTCTTTAATCAGGTTATCACATTCATGATCAGGTAACCTTTGTCTAACCAACTGGTCAACTTCCTCTCTACTCGGTTGAATCTCCATATTAGCTTCCCCCAGGAGTTTTTTTGTAATATCCCAGAACCTCCTCTACAATCTGCTCCACCTGATACAATTCCACTCCCGAGTCTGTAACCAACTTCCTGATAGCCCGTTTAGAATTTGAATCTTGACAGCCTGATGGAAGAAATTGGAACTCTGATCTCCCACCTTTAACCAAGAAACTCTTGATTTTTGCCAACAAAAACTTCCATATGCTGAAATTATGTGATCATAATGATCCTTCTTAAGGGAAACAGCTTCAAAATTTTCAGAGGTAGGATCCTGATATGCTACTGCTTGAGCACGCACTAATTCACCCTCAGCCTCCCTGACCTGTTCCTGTAAGTTATCATACACTTCCTTGTTAAACCTCTTTAAAGCTTGCTTAACTCAACCCATTTTTGTTTGAACAACCTGAATAGGAGATCCAGAGACATCCCCCTTCCATGCTTCTTCAACTATGCCCAAAAAGAGAGGGTGCTCTGCCCAAAACTCAAAGTACTTGAAGGGTTTGGGCAAAGACTTGATAGGTGCCTCTGTAGATACCAGAATTCCACAGTGGTCAGAAAATGGGGCAGGGATAGCTTCCATAGTGCAATTTTTGAACTGCTCTATCCACTCAATATTAACCATGCCTCTATCCAAACGTCGAGCAATAGGTTGCCGAGCTTGCCTATTGGTCCAGGTAAACTGTGGCCCTGTTGTTCTATAGTCCACCAATTCTATCTCATCAATCCACTGATTGAACTCCTCCATACTTGAAGTAGAGGACCTTTGATTTGAAGTCTGTGAAAATCCCCTCCAATTATCCAGGGATAGCCTACCACTTTCAACTGAGTAATCTCATTATAAGTTTGTACCCTTTCTGCCTCATCATTAGAGGCATATACTGCTGTAAAGAAAAAGGAATCCTTATTTATATCTTCTATCAAGCAATGAATAAAATTCTTTCTTGGTTTTAGTATTTGTACCTTCACAGCTGGATCCCAAAACAACCATACCCTCCCCAACTTTGAATCGTAACAGTTGAGACATCTCTCCCACCCCACAAAAACCTCTTCTACAACTTCCTCTGCTTTATTTGCCTGCACTCTAGTTTCAAGGACTGCTACTACATCCACTTTGCTTCTACGGAGGACGTGCATCAAGTCCCTCTGCTTGGAGGTTTTATTAAACCCCCTTACATTCCAGAACAAGAAAATCATTTCGAAGTAGGGGGTTTCCCCCCACCTCTCTTCAAATCTTTCTTAACTTCTTTTTTCTTTGGAGCTTCCAGTATCTTACTATCCCCCTTCTCTACCTCCTGATCATTCAGTTTCCCTAAGACATCGAAAGATGAGCTTGAAATTTGAATACCTTTAGAACTGTCCTGTGAGAGGCAGATGCGAGGCTTTGCTCCATAGACTACTCGTTGAAACTCTGCTTCAGATGGCAGCTTTGGTGATGCAGAAGTAGCCACTTCCTGAAAGGATTTCTCCAAATTCTGAGGAACCACTTTGCTGCCTCCCTCCAGACCTGGAGTGGAAAATATAGCCATCAACTGAGGATCTGTATCATATAGAACCACCTCCTTACCCTTATCCAGGACCTTCTGTTGCTCCATAGTCACACCCTCAACCATATCTCTTTCCTTACTCACTGTCTGCTCGAGATTATCCTATCCCTGAACGGCATTCCCCTCATTTGGCACTGACTTTGCTACCCACTGCTTACCCTGATGATCAGCACATGAACCAGTGATGCCAAAAAGATGACAGACATGGCAAATAGGGGGTAGGTTGCAATAGGTGATACCAATGCGTATGGAGGAGTCATCATCAGGCCATAGGAGCACATGGTCAGGACATTCACTATCCACTGTGAGCTCAACCAGGACCTTGGCAAAGCCATGCCTAGCCCCCATTCGGGTTGTATGATCCATACCCAGCGGAACCCCAATCCAACTCGCTATCCTACTCAACCCTTGAAAATCATTATATTCAAGCGGAACATTCATCAAATTCACCCAAATAGGCAGAGCTTTCCTTCCCAAATCCTCAGAGCTAATACTAGGTACCCAAGGCCGAAGATACAGCAGATTATTGAACCAGAACCACGGGTCATTCTCAAGTATCCACTCGCAAACCTTCTGATTAGGCAGTTGAATGAGTAACATCTTATCATAGAGCATCAAAACCCTAACCAGTCCATCTCGCCCCCACAACTTATTAGCCCAGCGACGCATCACATAGAGTGAAGGCGGATCCTGCAAAAACTGACCAACTAAGCAATGCTTCCAGCGAGCTGCTCCTGCCTCACGAACAACCTTGGGCATCCTCAGACCGCCTTTGATAACCTCAGGTGGAATGTATGTAAGGCGATTGGCCTCAGAGATCCCAAATAGCGACGCCCAGGGTTTCGATGGAATCCCCCGAGAATCACCATTCAGTACCTCCGAAGCCGAAGTGGGTATCGCAGCACTCAATTCACTCATAAGAGAACAGAATAAGAGGGGGAAGGGATCTGCTCCGGCGCAGATGCCGGAGCCGGCACTGAGGCAGTCGCGAACCCTCAGTCACTGAGCAATCGCACTCTCTCTCTACTCTCTCTCACCGATAGTGGTATTGCAAGCCAAATTTTGAAAATTCGTTTTAATTAAATAAAAATATTTCCGAGGAGTTTATAAGGGTTTGATAAATTTTCAGGGTATAAGTACTAATGATTGATGTAGGAAAATTTTTATTCGAATTTTTAAGAAGGTTCAAATTAGGTGAAAAATTCGTCCAAGACTAAAATAATTAGGAAAAGTGGTCGGTTTTGAAGGGATTGTTTCTAGAAAATTTTTAAAGGGGGTTAAGGGACCTTGGGAGCGAGTCTCGAGGGCTGGATGTTGAGGAGAGGATGTTCTAGTGACCCAAAAGGGAATTCTAAATCGAGAAAGGTCGACTAAGGAGATGACATTCTTATTAATAGGTTCACCGAGATAATTGGGCTAGGAGGGATTTCTTCGAGTAAGGAATCGAGAAGTCATCTTTACAAGGTGAGTTTAAAGGGGGTAAATTCTACGCCTTACGTGTTCTTTCAAGAATTACAAGTCTTAAGTATTTGGGTTAATATTTTCGTATGGCCTGAACTTTGACCAAAGTAAACATCCTGGCCAATCTTTTCGATCTATAACATTCTGGCCCGAACTATACACCAAAGTAAACAATTTGGCCAAATCAGACTTTTGACCGTTAACTTGGACGGTCAAACGCATTGACCGTTAGTCAACACGCCATGTCACCGCCAACTCAGCAATAAAAAATTAAAAAAAAATTAAATTCCACCTAGCCCATTTAATTTCCTTTCTCATTTAAGACGGAAAAAAAAACCCCAAAACGCAGCGGGTTTTGAAAGTGGCGGTGTACAAAATCCCCCCGCGTTCCACCTCCGTCGGCTACAAGTGCGGGGAGTGGCTGCAGTCGGACAAGATCTGGTCGGGGCGGCTCCGGGTCGTTTCCTGCAAGGAGCGGTGCGAGATCCGGCTGGAGGATCCGAACTCGGGGGAACTGTTCGCGGCCTGCTTCGTCCCGCGGGGGCAGCGGGAGACGTCGGTGGAGCTGGTGCTGGACTCGTCGCGCTACTTCGTGCTCAAGATCGAGGACGGCGCAGGGAGGCACGCCTTCATCGGCCTGGGGTTCGCCGAGCGAAACGAGGCGTTCGATTTCAACGTCGCCCTCTCCGATCACGAGAAGTACGTCCGCAGGGAGCACGACAAGGAAACCGGGGAGAGCAGTGCCGCCGGTGCTGCCGACGACATCGACATCCACCCCGCCGTAAATCACCGGCTCAAGGTCAGGGAAATGGGAATTGGGGGAAATGAAAATCAGATTTCGATCTGAGTTGTGCGCATTTCAACCTTTCCGCATCTTCATTTCTTTATTTTATCCTTCTTTTTTTTTTAAGGAAGGCGAGACGATTCGGATAAATGTAAAGCCTAAGCCGACTAGCAGTGGAACCGGAATGCGTTTTGGGGGGTTTTTTTTTTGTCTTAAATGAGAAAGGAAATTAAATGGGCTAGGTGGAATTTATTTTTTTTTATTTTTTTTATTGCTGAGTTGGCGGTGACATGGCGTGTTGACTAACGGTCAACGCGTTTGACCGTCCAAGTTAACGGTCAAAAGTTTGATTTGGCCAAATTGTTTACTTTGGTGTATAGTTCGGGCCAGAATGTTATAGATCGAAAAGATTGGCCAGGATGTTTACTTTGGTCAAAGTTCAGGCCATACGAAAATATTAACCCTAAGTATTTTGATGAGGTGATTGTCTTTGTTTGATTGTGCTTATGGTTGATGATATGTGATTTTGTTTGAGCTATCACTACAACAAATTCGACCTATTATGACGAGGCATTTTTGTCATATTAGATACTCATTTTGTCATATTACGAATAACTAGTTTTTTACCCGGCCCGTTGGCCGGAAAATTTCATTTCATCATTTATAGAAATTAATTTATCTATATGTTTAAAAAAATTTTAATCTTCTAACTTTTTCGTGCTCACACTTCATAAGTGAGTATGCTATATGTTCATATTAAAAATTCTCAATATTTAGCATCCACCTATGATGTTCATAGGTTTCGATTCTCCAATCATAAATCATATTTTAAATGTTTATCACGTCACATTTAGAATATTAACAAAAGTTTGTCAACCAACCCACTCAAATTTCTAATATTATAAAACATATAACATTCGTGATTCTCGAGTTAGGACAAACACTCAAACAGTTATTAAGAGTCCAGATTATTGGATAGAAATACTTGATTATTGGATAAAATGTGTTTATCCCAAGGGAAACTTGACACACGCCATACTACTTACGATGATCAAATTATCTAATCTTAACTCATTTTTATGTAAATGTTCATTAAGTCTCTACTGAGGATCTTATGTCAAAATTTATCTATCAAGACAATCAAATTTAGTATCTTACACAATAGAGTAATTACAATTTATTAACCAAATCTTTCAAACTTTAAAATTATCAGCCATACCTTTCAAAATACAAAGTATTAGCCAAACGTTAACTCCCCGTTAGCATTTTTGTTAGAAAAATTTAATAGTTATACCTTTCAAAAAAACTTGTATTTTAATTAAGAAAAGATTTAAAAAAAATATTAAAAATAACAGAAAAATGGTTAATATTTTGATGCGATACAAAAGATTTGGTTAAAATATTGAAAACTCTGAAAGGTATAGCTATTAAATTTTATTTACTCAATCTGTACCTATTCTAATTCTTGAAATTTGTAGTAACCTTCAACCCATGGTTGTTGTATACATGTTGGCTTGTAAGAATCTCAAACCAAGACACTTTCACACACTTTCAAGGGTTCTCGTCTTAACATGATCCTTTAGTGTATAACGTTCCAACTTTTTTAATGTGCATTTGCAAAAAAATTCTTATTTTTTGCGTTACTTCTGGAACAAAAATTTGCATTATATATCTTAATAATTGATAAATCGTGTCAACAACTACAATGCACATAGATATAGGTGCATTAAAAACGTCGTGTCATTTAAAAAATTAAATTTTTATTTTTTTGACCAAGTTGATTTTAAAAAAATAAAATAAAACTCATAAAACATTGTGCATTTCACACTGATGAATTCTTGGATATATTATAGACACATCTATTGTTAATATCTAAACGTATATAAAGAGTTCACTTTATTTTGTAACCCTAATTAAGACCTTTCAACACACCTCGTTCAATGAAATACGAAACAAAATTTTGTGGATAGGATAACCCAATCGAAATAGATATTGCTTACTGTTACAAACTAACATTTTTGTTTTGACATTTTGATATGGTAAAATCTTTTTTATTGCCAAAATTTGGTATGGAGACACATACTCACAGCAATTCAACCAAATGACTTATTAGAATTGCCTTGTTGATCTCATGCTTATAAAGATTCTTCATTTTTAACCTAATAGCTCGGTTTAGAGTCTTCTAACTATAAAAGCTTTTAATGTAGAAGACATTCAACTATTAAACGAAAATTGTCAACTCATGTTTGATTAATTCTAGGCCAGTGGTTGATGAAACATAATGTTTATCGTACATCGTCAAAAAAGATTTCTCTAACACTCACATGCCATATAATACGTGTACATTATCAAGTTTCTATCCAGACCTTTTACTATATAATACTTGTTTTATTTTATAGATATATTAATTAGAAATACGAGTAGGGATGGCAATGGGGCGGGTTTGCCTAAACCATCCCCATCTCCATTTTCAAATATCTAAACTCATACTCGCCTCATACCCATACAGTGGAAGGTTTTACAAACTCATCTCCATACCCGCGGTTTTCGGATACCCATGGCCATGGGTAATACCCGCTCCATCAGCTACTCACCATAAAAAAAAATATGTAAAAAATATGGGTACTACTTGCCCAAAATTATGGAACTGATACATAAGTGGATCAAATTATGGTTTGGTTGCCATCAATTACATAAGTGGATGTTATATTTTCTGCACATAACATAATATCCTCAGTGGGGCAGGTTTGGGTATGGGTATGGGGATGGGATTTCAAAAGCATATTCGACCATCTCCATCAAAAAATTTGCGGGTTTTCCCCATACGTAGATTCCCCGTATTGACTTGGTCGGAGACAGTTGGGTACCTGCGATCATGGGTTTGGTTGTCATCTCTAAATAAGAGAGTGTTTAATAGCCAAAAATATAAAATAACATAGTTCATTTTTGAAAGTTGATTGATTTTCTAACAGTTATTTTCTTCATTTCCATCGTTATATTTTATTTAATCGATGAAAATATTATTTTTTATGTGTGTGTTTGTTTAAAATTTTCAATAACATATAACTTATTATTTAGTTTCATTAAAAAACAGTAGAAAATTTACTTGAGCAAGTTTAATAAGATATTTTTTGTTTAACCAAATGTGATATATCACTCTACAAACATTAGTCTTTTTCTACAAACATAGATATAATATAAAAATTAAAAAGAATTATTGAACAAAAGAAAACATCATTAAAATAAGAGAGAGATAACTCCATAAATAGCCCATTATCTTTTTTTTTCTTGTACAAAAATTGTCCACCTTGGCAACTTGTGAATTCTCCAAGTGCTTATGTGGCAAGAAGTTGGTTTGAACAACCATAATATATAGTAAGATATGACAAAAGGTGTTGTCACAAAGATTTATCATTTTATCGCCGTCAGAATAGGTCAAATGTGACAAAAATTTAAAATAAGGTTGGCACATTTGCTTTCAGTATATATGTGGTTCTGGGTAGTCTATTGTGACAAATAGAGATGTTATGACAACATATTTTGTCATTACGATTGTCATAATCTTGTGATTTAGGGAGAATTGTTTGTCATATTACACGATAAAATTTTGTCATAACTGTATATTGTGACGACTACATGTTGTCACAAGTGTTTATTGTGACAACATTATTTTGTCATAACTGAATATTACGATGAATATATTTTTTCATAACTGCTTATTATGACGAGTATAGGTTGTCAGGAAAGGTGGTTTATTTGTCTCATGTCTAATATGACAAGAGAACAATTTGTCATGCAATGTACATAATGTGACGACATGACTTTGTTGCCACATTTGACATGCTTAAAAAATTTCATAATTCGAAATTATTTCCTACATTGCAACCTAATAGTGGACCAAAGATCCAAAACTTTACAACCATTTCGATAGTAGACTAACTCCTTGTTCAACATAACCAAACATTCTAAGGTGTCCACCATGACACAAACCATTCTAACTCCTTTGCGGATCATGGGTTCTCCTTCGGTCCATACTTCACCTTTTCATCAGGACCTTCTAAAAAATCTCATGGCCTGGTACATGCTTCCCCTCTGCCTTTGCTTCTAACCAATTGGACTGCATTGTCGGGCTTTATAGTGAAGATCCTTTGCTATGAATCTTTGCAGGAGAGGAATCCAGATCGTCGACAAAGTACCCTCTATTCATCTCATCTCTACTGCCCATGATCACGTGGTTGGTTTTTTGAACAGTTCTTTGCTTAGTTCTAAAAAGAATACACACAAGATTTTTGGAGGAATCCTTTGGAAGATTTGGTTGTTTGATCCTTGTCTCTAGCAATAACAAAATGAGAAAACAACCAAGGAAATAAAAGAATAAAGAGAGCAGCCACAAGAGTTTGAAATTGAAAGAATAGGAGTTATTTTCTAGACCAAAGGCTAAAATCTCCTAGAATTTGAAAGTTTCCTCTATTACTTCTTTGCTTAAGTCCAGTAAAGTAGAATCGACAGAGAACGAATTGAGTTATGCTTGGTTTGCTATGCGATTTGTGAAACCTTGATCATTAAATTATGTCCACCACCATAAAGAAATATTCCCCATGTCCTAGACGTGAACCAAGTTACAACCCTATTAAAAGCCATCGTAACAAGTTATTGGTGTCCCAACTATAGAGATTCGATTGCATTGCAAAGTGTTAACAGCTAGTTTCATGGTAGTGAGATGATAGGTTTGAGAGTATGAGTATGAGTATGCATATGCATATCTTTTGCATCAAATGATCATGGCTCTACTGGTCGAGAGTGAGTGATTCGATTTCATGTTATATATCCATGTGAGGACGTAATTCCTCGAAATTTTGTTCGGTATGAATTAATCTATGTGTCTAAAAATCCTGGGATACTGATTGACTAGTTGTGTGTGCGAGCAGTTTTATAAGTCTGATCAGGCACTTTCACGGTCATGAACTTGCTGCATTCGATGTAATGTGCAAGGGTCGTCAAGGTTGTTGTTGTTGTTCATGTGTTGATGCCAGATAGCTATTGTGATCATGTGTTTTGTGCCTCTATGACATGTCCCAAGATTTTCACGGTTAAAACATATTGAGTTGACTTGTATCTTACTTGGTTTGCTTCGGGACAAGCAAACAGTTAAGTGTGAGAGAATTCGATAACACCATAAAAACACATGTTTATTCCCTCGTTTCTTGGTTGTTTGGGATT